GGCCCATGGGGATGGTTCTGGAGCAGCCACTGGCGCTCTGAGGTGGCAGAAGAAACTTCCTTGGGAACAAGATGGGGCTGAGCGGAGTTTGCCGCTCTCCTAAAGGTAATTGAGATTCCTGGGGCCGGCAGTAAACCTGCACGGACACAGCGGGCAGGGGAGAGCTGCACGCAACTCTTTAGTTATTACCATTTGTATGTTGCCTTTTCTATCGCCTTTGGTTTTTATCGTGTTCCAAAAATGAAACTTCTGGCTCTCCTTCAAAAGCCCTTTGACGGAGGGAGCACCTCCTCAAAGCTGTGGCCAATTTGAGATCCCATTGCAGATCCGAACAATAACGTAACTTGGATCTGAGACGGCAAATGGCCCGAATACAGCTTTTATGGGGCCTAATCCTGCAACTTTTGACTGTGCTGCATTACGGGTTATGCACTTGGGTAAAAGCATTGGTGCTGGCGTTATATTACTTGGGTTCTTAAAGACCCAAGCTCAATTAAATATGGTAGAAAGAAAAAAAAATTGTGTAGTTGGGTCAGATAGGAGTATATCAGCCCTGAAACAGTTGAAGGAAATTGCACAAAGGCGCTTCGCTAACTTTTGTCTTTGGATATTTCTGCACAAACACTGTTGCTTTTTTTCTGAAGATGTTTAACAGTGAAGATGGTGGAAGTAGAAGAAACATGCTTGCGAGTGTAACCTCCTAGGGAGAAAATATCTTTTTAAAGATTAAAATAAAGCAAGTGAAACTCCAGAAGGACACAAAGATATTCGGTGCCTTAACATACTCGGTTATTTTTCTCTGATGCTAATGGATCTGTCATCCAGGCTCCAAATCGGGTTCCGGATATCTTGACTGTAATGGGGCCTGTAATTTTCATCAATTTGCCACATGCTGAAATTAGAAAAACAAATGCATTAATGCAAATAATTACACAACTCTCCTTGACATCAGTCAGAGCACAAGACCAATTGCTCTAAGCTAAATAGTGGCTCCAGGGGATTCAGGCTTATGTTGAAGATGGATTGTCATCTTCACTGTATGAACTCTTCCGTATCAAGCAGTAATATAAATATGTTAAAAATACATAAATAAAAGTTTATTTGTGTATATTTTGGTTTTTATATATTTTAAAGCACAGTTACATTTTCTGGGCGTAAAGAAAAATACAACCTAGTAAAATATCTTCTGAGCTGAAGTGAATAACGTTTAATAATAAATGAAAAGACGACACAAACTCCCCTCGCTTTTGCCTTCAGAAAGTTCAGTGCAAGGCTAGGATTGATGGATGGTTCAGTTTTCCATTGGCCGGGGTAACGAGGAGGTTAAGGGCGGACAGGAAAAAACGAGCTTGTACACAAAACGTATAGCTGTACACAAATGCCCGTGTCTGTCTGCCCTGCGGTTACACACACGTGGCCGTTCCAGCACTAGGGGCCTGTCTGAAGTTAGGAAAGCGAATATGGGAATTATTCAGCAACCTTGGCTGTATCAGTTGGCTTCTAATCCATTAGGCTGTCTCATATTAGACTGTCTGGGAGGAAATAATGAGAGTCGATATGATCTTGGATGCTGACCTTCCTAACAATCCAAAAATCGATATTTAGGGAACATTAATAACATACCTATTGGCAACAAGCCCCTGGTGGAATTCATAAGTTTACCAAGAGGCTTAATATCACACGGTGTGTAGGTGATTAGCTGAAATAGCACGTTTCTGAAGAACAGATGTTCCATAAGAATGTAAAAAGAAGTGACGCATTTCATTTATTTCTTTAATTTGAAAGTAAGTGTTTCTCCATGATACATGGGTGTGCTATATTGTATAACCCTATCTGTCTCGGAAATGTGGAAAACAAACTGTACCTGGTGTTGAGAGTGAATTTATTCAGTTCAAAAGAGAAGGTGACATCAAGCCTGGATTTTCTACTTTATGTAACTGGCAAGGAATGTATTGTGCAAGCCTGTTTCAGGCAATTAGAAGGGGGTTAATGCTGTGGTGACAGCTCAGGGGCTGCTCGCGGGGATTTCGTTCCCGGCCAGGGAGATGGAGTGTAATGGAAATGAAGATAACCGAGTACATGCTGAGACCTCAACGAGCAGGGTAGGCTGTGTCTATTTTCTGGGTCAATTCAAAGGCATTATTATTTACGTATCTTAATCTATGTATCTTACAATCTTTTGAAGATATTTTGGAATTTCCCACTTTATAGAATCTTATAGCTTTTCTACAGTTGGTTATCATAGTACATAATCTTTTATTGTGGAATTTTTTGTAGATAGGCTTCTAGCATTGCGTGCTGAGTGCTGTTTTTCTACAGCAATGAACTGCTATTAGCTTGGAAAGTAGAGGACTATATCCTATCACGGTGAAGGCTTTTATTTCTAGGTGGTATGTTAGTAAATAGTATCAGAAATGGGCGTGAGGTAAACTGAAGCCTTCAGAGGGGTTTGATTTGGAATAAAATTATCAGAAAACTAATAACGAGTAGAAAGAAGTCAGGAAAAAATTAACTACTGAATTTGTAGTTTTTAAGATAATTAAAATACAACGAATGTCTGAGTTAAAGAGTATACCGATTGGTGCCTTTAAAACACAGTATTGAAATTAGTAGGAAAACATAACCAAAGAATGTGGAATTCTGAACCACTGTTTCTTCCATTTAAAAAAATATCCAGGAAGCTAAATGTGGAATCAAAACCGAGCTGTGAAATTTCGCTTCTGAGCGGACAAAACTTAGAGAGGAGCCCACGGCAGAGATGTGGGGGTGCTCACAGAGCCCACCTTTGGCATGTTAACGCCACGTCTCGGGGTAGGCACGGGAGCACGCGTGGCGTGAGTCGCATTTGCGAAACTGCTGGCACGATGACTTTAGCCGAGGCCAGGCAGAGCAGCCACCCCACCGGGTACCGCGAGCAGCCAGCGCTCGGCGAGTGGAGTCAGAGTACGGGGGCGGTGAGCCCAGTCCCGCGGCCAGGGCAGGGGCCTGTGAACTCACGGGCTTTCTCACCGGCGCGTGTGTTGGCGGATTGTGGGGAGCAAGCACGGGCACGCGTCAGGCTCGAGGCCCCACGTCTCCAGCAGGAGAGCTGTAAAAGGAGGGAGTGTGCTTGTAGCCCACGCCGGCTGTTGGGGGGGTGGTGGTGGTGGTGTGTGTGTGCATGCACATAACTCCATGGGTGTCTGTGTGCGTGGTGCGCTATGTGCGACTGGAACTTTTTGATACTAGCTAGAGAAGGGTGCCCAGAAATTTGTAGGCTTATTAACGTTTCTTAAGTGTCTAGTACTCTGGTTCGTCTGTTGTATTACTTGTATTGATCCTGAATGTACAGTTCACTGATTGCCAGCTAATTACATGCCATTAATAATTAATAAACCTCTTCAGTCTTGATTTGGTTTAAACTGTATGAACCGAGCAGCCTTCCACTGTGACGGGAGTCAGATGCTTCTAGAGCGTGATCTTTCAAAATGTACTGGGATACCGTTCAGTGTGAAAAAAGAGCTGATGCTGTACTTCAGCCGCTAAATGATTGGCGGTTTGCGTCAAGGTATATTTATGTGGTTAAATTTTTATTCCCAGATAGCATGTAGTGATATCAAGAAAGGAAGGCTGTTAGGACAGCTGCTATATAGCTGAGGGGCAGCTGACTGAAAAAATGACAAAGCTTCTCTTTTCAGCATAACAAAACAGAGCATCTTGTGAGAGGCGCGAGGATTTTTCTTTTTTCTCCTGCCCTGTAGTATGTCCCATCTTTTCTTTTCCTTGTTCGTTAAACAGAAACCCATAAATCTGCCTCTTTGTGATATAACTTGATGGAACTGGTATTTAAAACTGAGGAGTGATACTACAAGGATTTTTTCCACCTATGGTAAGCCATTCCCACTGCAGTGATAATTCATATCCCATCAGCAGGTTTCTGCTGTAAACCTCAGCAGTACCCGAGGCCTGTTGGCCTACTTGCTGACAGCGTGGGCAGTAAGAAGGAAGCAACAGAGCTGTCAGTGCCCACCTCTGTCTTGTCATCACAGCCTCCTTACAGCTGGGAGCTCCTTAGGCACAGGAGCTTAATATATGAAGTCTCTACCAAAATTCTAGTCCTGTAAGTCTAATACCCTGCTATTGCAGACAGCCTTCTTGTAAAATTGTTAACATGATTTTAAAAATGGGGAAATATTGTTTGCACTTGCCTACCCTCACCCTCCAACTGAAGGTTGTTTCAGAACCTCGCTCTTCTGTTAATTTGAAAAATGTTCAGGGCCAAGTACGTCGGTGTTATCTGTCTTGTCTTTTGAGTAGTCAGAACTCAAACCATTGCTTCCAGATACATGCGGACTGGCACCCCTTATCAGTAAGTTCTCCGAGTTCAGAAAAGAACTGCTTGAAAGAACAGGACGAGGCCCCAAAGCATGTCTTGGCTGAATGGTCAACTTGATACATCAGCTCATGCTGTTTTGAACTGTTTAAGGCTGCACAAGTGACTTTTGTAGAAGTAAATTGTCCCAAGTATTCCACAAATCATCTGGCTTGCTAAATACTGGTCTTGTGAATGCAGTGAACCTATTGCTGACTGATGATGCAGGGAAATGTGAGACTAGGAGAAAGTAGTTGAGGCCAAATTGTCCTCCCCTTCTCGTTGAAATCCCTCTGAAATTCAGTTCACGCTTTATTCTGTCAAACCTTCAGACAGCCCTCTAATGCAGTGTTGCTTCCAGTATTTGACTGGAAGTTAAGAGAATCAAGTGAATGCAATTAAGAAAACAGTAAAACGAATTTCTCAGTCTTCAAGAGAAACGTATCGTCGTTTTCTCCAGTTCTGTCTTTTGGAGCCCTACCTTCAAATGCGTTTACCCATTTGTTACAGCAGACCTATAAAAATTGGCAGAATCGGGGTCATTTATGTTTTGTTCATTATAAAGTAGCAAGTGTGCTGTCTGTGCTGAAGTATTATTGACTTACTAATACAATTAAATAACTTATTCCAGATGAATATCACAGCATTTTGATGACATGTTACTACAATACGCAGTTTAGCAATCTGTTTAACACTGAAATAATTAGCGATACTGACTTTATAAAGAGAATGCCCTTACAGCTTGCCCAAACCTGATCTTGCATTTGATACAGAAATTAAATGAATGACAACTCTTTCAAGAGTGAAGCTCAATATAATGTTTAACAGTTCACTGATAAAGGAAGGTGAATTTTCTGTGTGGTTGTAAGCACTTCCAACTTCGCATTCAGTGCAAGAAATTTTCCTCACTCCTTCACCAGAATAGGAAACAGCTTCTTCTTGGCTACTTAAGTGTAAAACGTGTTGATCTAATCCCAGCCTATATTCTTAGCTGCAGAATGAACCTTATAATTGTTCATGTGGCTATATTGAAATTGATCTTGCATGCTGAGGTTTCTTGCTAGGGAATGGTGATACTACTGAAAAGCAGGATCATTTACTTAACACTTTTGTGGCATGGCAAGTCTGGGAGGCTGAAATTAAAAAAATGCCCATTAGTTTCCAGTTGAGACTTT